AAAAAAAAAAAAAAAAGAAAATCATCAGCATCACAAGAGGATTGGCTGACATAGGAAGGAAGCAAATTAACCAAGAATTTGTGTAGAAAAGAAAGGTGTCTCTGAGAGATACCTATGGAACACTTAATTAAAACAAGAAAGGAAAAAGATGGCTCCCACCACCCTTGAGCTACCCCACCCATACGATGTCTTAGTTTTTTTTTTTTTTTTAATGTGTATTTAAAAAAAAGAAAAAGAGAGAGATTTAAGAGGCCAGAAAATCAGTAGACAAACCAGCAGAGAATGGTGCAAAGGGAAAGAGCGTTTATTTCAAGTAGGACCAAACGGGATCAACATGGTCAAATGTTATCTCTGAGTCAAGTAAAATGAGGGCTAAAGAGGATGTCACAACAGACCTTGGCAGGAGCATTTCTTGGTGTGGTGGGAAGAGGAACAGAGGTGGCAGGAAGTTGTCTCTACTTTAAAGTGTGTGGCTGTGAAGGGGAGGAAAAAGGCAGGCAGGCTCGAAGGCAAAAGGATTGAGTAGGATGGTTTAGTTTGTGCTGCCTTGGCTTTGTTTTAAGATGGGAAAGACTTGAGGGTCTTTACATTGCTAACGAGTAGGAGAGGATAGATCTGGGAAAGTGATACAAGACAGAGAAAGGAGTGCCCCCAGCCAGACTGCAGGAGGGCAGGAATGGGACAATACGCAAGTTGTAAAGATTAACTAGAGGGGAAGAGGAATCTTCTTCTTCCATTTTGAGGGTGAACAAGCTGCCAGTGTGAGCTTTCCCTTGCCCTGCTTCCCATGCATATAGCTTTTACTGGAATTCACACTACTCAATCCTCTGAAACAGCAGAGGACATCTCCCCATCCCCTCTTCCCACAGTGCACATCTGTTCATCTCTTTTCTAGGTACTTACAAACTAGGCATCTCGGTTTCTCGGAACACTGTTTCAAGCACACATCTGTATCTCAAACTTATCTAAACATTTTGCAGTCAATAACCTTCTCGGCAAGCTCAATGATGTCTATCTGAAAAGCATCTAAAATTTCATTAGTCGCAATATGTCTTTCTCAACTATAACCCATCAACCTCGGTATTAAAATAAGTGCAAGAAGAAGCTTCCAGCCACACAGTGACACCTCAATCTTTAACAGAGTTGTTAACTCAGAAAATGGTGAGTTAAGGACCTCAGCATCTCCTATTCAGATAGGATATCCTGTATGAGGAAAATATGGCTCATCCTCAAGTTTGCTGTTATTCTTAAACAGTAATGTGTCACTTTGCTCAAGAAAAATCATCATTTGATTAATCTGAAGGAAACCACATAATACACAGTGTAAAGATGGAGCCAGTAGATTGCTAGCACTAAAAATAGAGACTCTTAAAGATACTAAAAAAGAGAGGTAGAAGGAGGAGAAGGTAAAGGAGGGGGGAGAAGAAGATGACACCCTACATACTGCTCTGTAGTAAGGAAACAGGGAAAAGTCACTGTGACTCACCTTGGTGGGTCCGTTTCCATTAAGTGCCACTGGTAATGTTTCATAAAATACATTCTTAGCTCTGGCTTTGCCATTTTCAAATTTTAAAACAACTTCATCTGGGTTAAAAAGGAAAAAAAAAACCAGATTTTAGTCATTTAAAATGTGTGTGTATTCATATGCACATATACATGTCTACATCTATCTATACCTTCTCGTTGTTATAAAATTTCTCACAAATGCTATTCCATGTGCTACAACACTTTTAGAAATTTTGCCTACTTTAGGTCCGCAGGGCACCTCAGTCACTCCCACCCGGCACCCGCAAACTGAGGCGCTAAGACACTGAGCAGGGTGTCTGGCCGGAGAAAAGCATCTTTGCCATCCTGCCTCCAAGGGCTCTTGATAGTAATGTGATCCCAGATGAGCTAAATTATTATCTCAATTTATTAAACTGTAAAAATGGGATCTTTGCCTGCCTTTCAAAGTTATTATGAAGATGATAACAATACAAATATGGCAAATAGAACACTGCCAGACATAAGCAAGGTTTCTGCAGTTGGCCATCATTGATAGTATTTCCAGTTCTTGAAAATCAGGCCTAATGCAAATACCAGGAATACACAAGTCAGATGGGAGCAGGAACAGCTGTTTTTTGTTGCTGTTTCCAGTTCCTTTCCTCACATTTCCTAAGCACTTCAAACTAAATGCTTTCCATTCTGAGAAACTTTTTAGTGCATGAACTGCCTTGAAGAGTTGTACTGAATTACAATGTATTTTTAATCTTTAAAGTATTAATGCATTAGTGAATTAGTGTATTTTTATTTTCAGTATATTGGTTAATTTAATGGATTAATGTATTTTTTCCAAGAAATATGTCTATCTAGGCAAACACACACAGGCATACCCACACACACACACACACACACACACACACACACCACAGTATGTGTGCCTGGTTACCAATTACCATTTAAGCTAGGTAAAGTACTCCAATACTTTAATATTCCTCCTTAATTCACAACACAGAGAACTTACACGGAAAACTGTGTAATAATAAGGTATCATTAAATTAAAAATATATCTCCAGATGGTGAGACACTAAATTCTAAATTACCTAAAGCTAGAAGCTTATCTTTGTTACATTAGTCTTAAGAAATTATTTTCAGTAAATGTATTTCACGATGTCAAACTAAGCTCAAGTCCATTGGTTTTTAAAAGTTGTAATATCTACACAGTAAACCTTAACCGCAGCCCCAAAATGGATATAACACAGGACAGACAGTTGAAAACACAGGTGTTCGTTTGTATTCATGAACAATTCTGTATTTAGGAAGCATACCTACAGCTCCATTTAAAGTCTGGAAAATTTTGCATTTGTGATCCAATGTGATGTTAATAGCCTCCTAAAAATGAGAATAAAGATACTATTGAAAATGAGAACAAAAATAGCAAACAACACTATCGTGGCAATATAGTTTATTCTTTGGGGGAATTTAAGATCCTATTTGTAAATTATTCCAGCAATATTCTTCAGAAAGACAGAAAGACTATAGAGAGTTGACTGAATTAAAGGATAAAGGGTATGTTAAAGCATTCATGCTATTCTCCTAGTATTTCCACTTCACTGCATTATGACTAATTCTGACAAGTGGATTTTTAGCGGAAGTAAAATGAATCACTTCTAACCTGGAGCATGGAACTTCCAGTTTGAGACCCCAAGTGGCACACAAACTAGTAAGATCTCTGATGGCTGTTCCATCAGCCGGGGTCCCCAAGCGACTGCAATAAGCAGAAACCCTCTGCTGACCTATCACTGACATGTAGCAGGAGACATAGACCTCTGTTGGGTTAAGCTCTTGAGGTTGGGTAATTATTGTGGCATACTCCCCTACCTGTCAGCTACAATAGGCACGTAATCAATCAACATGATTACAAAGATTAATCCCCTTTACAAACTTTATGATTCTCAATGTACCAGTTTTTCAGCTACATTTCTCTGTCATAATAATATTCCTAAAATTATCTTTGTGTATTCCTATAGATTGAATGTTTGTGTCTCATCAAAATTCATATGAAGCCCTAACCCACAATGTGATGGCATTTGGAGACAGGGCCTTTGGTAAATAATTAGGGTTAAACTGAGGTCATGAGAGCAGGGACCTCACAATAGAATTAGTGCCCATGTAAGAAGAGACACCAGCGTGTTTGTGCATGCTCTCTGTGTATGTGTGTGTTCCTCTGTGTCCCTCTCTCTTTGCTACGTGAGGACACACCAAGGAGGTGGCTGCTGTCTACAATCCGGAAAGAGAGGCTTTGCTAGAAACCGACCATGCTGTTGCCCTGATCTAGGGTACAGGGTATGTCAAAGCATTCATGATTTTCTCCTAATATTTCCACTTCTCCACCATATGACTAATTCTGAGTTCCTCCAGAACTCTGAGAAAATACATTTCTGTTGTTTAAGCCACCCAGTCTAGAGTATTTTGTTATGACAAACCAAGCAAACAAGGACATGTGCTAACCAGATAAAATCTTACGCTAAGAGAGAAACTTAAACAGGATTTACACAACTAAAAACATTACAGACTCAGTAGTGAGATTTCAGGGAAAGCATCCTGAAGCACAGACAGCTAAGTAAGACTCAAAGTACTTTCACGGTTGAATTACACAAAGGCAGACAGACATCATGCTGCACAGGCTAGCACTCATGCCAAGAGCAGGCTTCTCCTCCCGGATGAAAGAAGAAGTCCTCAGGCTTGCTATGTCAGACACATAAGAGGGAAAGCAAAAAAGGGAGACGAATAAAAATAAACATTTTAAGCATAAAGTTTCCTAAGTATTAAGTGTCTAATGAAAACATTTAGATAACTGAAATGTTTATCTAAGAAACAGAAACAGCTACAGTTGCAAACTTGCTGTAAAATATACTTTAAAAAACTTGTTTCTGGGGTGCCTGGGTGGCTCAGTCGGCTAGGCGTCCAACTTCAGCTCAGGTCATGATCTCACAGTCTGTGAGTTCAAGCCCCACATTGGGCTCCATGCTGACAGCTCAGGACCTGAAGCCTGCTTCGGATTCTGTGTCTCCCTGTCTGCCCCTCCTCTGCTCGTGCTCTGTCTCTCTCTCTCAAAAACAAACATTTAAAAATTTTTTAAAAAACTTGTTTCCAGTAACAGCACCCACAAATTATATAAACTCAGTACATTTTAGAACGATTATGTTACCTACGGTGAATTTATGAAACATTAACTTACATTATGTAAATATACTAACAATTTTCTAAAATTAGAGAACTTTGGTTTTACTTTTCTCCAAAGTTTCAGTTAAATCAATTTCAGGAATATTCTCTTTAGGGTCCATACCAGACAGCTATTGTTCCCTGCATTCCTCCTCCTTAATAATAGAAATCCGATTTTTTAATAGGACACTTACACTTGAAACAAAGGACAACATTTTCTTTGCATATTATGCGTAGCCACATAAATATGTTCTGGTCAAAGAAAAGTAACAGAAAGTTTTTTCTAGAAAGATTATTTAAAAAGAGGTAATGTAACTCAGATGGCCCCTTATTTACCATTCTATCTGTTAACTGCCTAGAACATGGATACAATGGCTAGAGCTCCAGTAGACATCTTAAATAAGGAGGTTATATTAAAAACGCAAGCTATTACATACCCTCTTCAGTGGATCAATGTAAATTTTAGTGTAAAAGAGCTGATCATCATCATTATCCTGGAGATTCCACTGCTGGACTATACGGTTGATATATGGAGCATAGCCAATAAATCCTGCAATATAACAGAGAGAGATTAGAGAATTTAGTAATCAAAGACCAAAACTGGTTTCTATTAATTCCATTCATCAGTTGCACAGAGGTGTAAATCCATCAGGCCTAATACTTAGGTTAGAATTTTACAGATTACCATGGAAGAAATGAGTTATTGAGCATCCTTTGTTTTATATATAAACTACGAGAGTGAGTTTTTACCAACTGCAAATCAAAGACTTTTTTTGAATAAACACATTCCCAAAATTAATCGACACAAGAGAGGGAATAATGTTTTCCAAGGCTCCTAAGGGAAAAAGTTACTAGGAAAAGAACAGAAGAAGACAGAATTTTCTTCCTGACCTTCTAAAATGATCTTTCTTGGATCCTTTGGAGAGGATTCACTGTTTCTGGAAAAAAAAAATCTCTACTATGGTGATTTAATGTCAGTGCAGGATGCTAACAAAATCAAAGGAATGTTGGAAATGTCACTGACTGCAAACATGTCAAAGAAATTTTATATCTAGGACATTTTGGGAATTTTTCCTTTACTTGAACTGGTCATAATTGTACCTGCTAAACCATTTTCTGGCTAGATTTTTTATGCCACAGTCTGGAGAAAGGAAGTCTAAAATTGGATTATTCCCCTTGGCCTTCGAGCATAAGCATTAAATTTGCCAATAACAGTTGTCTATAAAAGACACAGGCAACAGTATCATTTTTCCCCTGTTTGAATCTTCCTCTGAATTTCAGAAACGTAGCCAAGCTGTTATGTTTCATTGACCTGCAATACTTTTAAAAAGGGACCAAAGTTACTCTTATGAATTGAAAGAAAACCTAATTTTTTACCCTCAAAATTAAAATTTCCTCATAGGAATAAAAGAATGAAAAAAAATAGGTCCAGAAAAATTACTGTTATCTAGAGAAATCAAGAGAAAATGAAAACATGCTTCAACCAATCACTGGTTGCTCCTCATTTGTTATTTTTATCAAATTAAAAAAATCTTAAAACACTGAAATATAGTCAATTTTTTAATTCCTATTACCAATATACTATAATGAAAAATATGTCCAAGTAATGGCATATGACATTTTCCAATAGTTTATATTACTCTTTTTCAAAATTTATGTTTCCTTATCCTTTTTATAAATCCCATTCAAAAACGACGAGAAATTTCATCTATTTTCATAGTATGTCATATATATTTTATATGATTTATATTTTCCTATTAAATTTCCATATTATTTCAAACCAATAAAGTTTATAATATTCTGAAATCTTCCTGATAAGGAAACATGGTTTCTTTCCATAATTTTTTAAAACTAAATGATATAATCATAAACAAAACTCATGTCCCTTAAATAACTCTCAATAGTCCATTCATGAAATTATATAATCTTTTATTGAATATATTTAGATTTTCTAGCATCTCTTTAATAATTATGACTACCGAAAGCATAGGAATCATGTTTTGATCTCTTTCCCACTTAAAAACACCTTTTCCTTAATTAAACTTTCTCACAAAGGCACTCACTTGCTGGGTTTTTGCTGTTTCCACAGCACTGTGCATCTGTCTGAAATTTAGATTCTTAAACACATATACTCCATCTAGATGAATTTCGCCATCTCAGTGGATCATTACATAATTTGTATATAAATTACATCTAGATGTTTGACTATATATATGTTTAGAAAAATTAATAAATATAAAATAAAACTTCTCCGAGAGTCCCTCAGCTAAGTGGTTTTTAGACTATATAGGACTTCATGGGGCGCCTGGGTGGCGCAGTCGGTTAAGCGTCCGACTTCAGCCAGGTCACGATCTCGCGGTCCGTGAGTTCGAGCCCCGCGTCGGGCTCTGGGCTGATGGCTCAGAGCCTGGAGCCTGTTTCCGATTCTGTGTCTCCCCCTCTCTCTGCCCCTCCCCCGTTCATGCTCTGTCTCTCTCTGTCCCAAAAATAAATAAACATTGAAAAAAAAAAATTTTTAGACTATATAGGACTTCAGATAAGTTAAAAGCCAGCCATGTGCAACTGACAGGCTGACAGTTTGGGGGTGCAAGTGGCACCAATCCATAATTGAGGGTTAAGACAAAGAAGCAAAAATTGGGAAACAATCTTAGGGAGAGGCTTTGTCAGTGCATAAACTATAAATCTAAGAAGGAAAGACTACTAAGGTAATGAGGTCAAGTGACTAACATGAGAAAACCTAGGTTGTAACTTGATTATGGAAGTAAAATCCAAAGGTGGTAGATAGATTAGGAGAAAAATAAAATGGTCAAGAAATCCCCGTAACTATGAACTGCAGTTGGACTGAGATGGAGAGAAAAAGTGAGCTGAAACTAGGCAGTGCAAACTGGAATTTAAGGTGTCAGAAGTGCAATATTTATATGGGCTGACAAAATTCCAAGGCATAACTATGGGAATATATTGCATAAAAATACATTGCAGGTAAATAGAGCTGGAATTGAGGCATCCCAGAGAAAGTAAATTACTTGCTAAAGGTTTCATTGCCATAAATGCCTTGATCAGAGCCTAGAATCCAAAAACGCTGCTGCTGCTACATCAAGTAGGACTTAACCTGAACTACACTAAATAGTATCAGTTATGTACATGTGAATCATCCAAAAAAAATTTGTTTTCCCAATGTGGCTTGGAACTTTCACCGAACTTATTTCTCTAACATGTCTCCCATCCTATTTGGTTATGTCTTCCGGTCATATGTTTATATTAATCTCAGTCTAAGGAAAACATTTTGGAGTCATCATAATGTCCAAAGTCAAGTTTATTATTTTTTTTTGAAAGGAAAGGGAAAATGTGATAATTTGTTCCTTTAATCCATGGTGGAGTAGCTAATGCAGCACTTTACATCCACTCAGTGTTGAACCTTTTTGACTAGTGATTTCAAGACAAAATCATTCATTTACTCTGATATATTTAAAACATAGATAGATTTAAGTAATGCCTATACTTTATAGCTACATGATTATAGCTTACACTTTTTCCTAAGTAAGGGAACTTACTTAGAACTTATTAGATAAACCCATTATCTAATAGCCAGAAAATTGTCAATGAAACTATAATCAGACCAGAATCCATGCTGTTTTTCCTTGAACAACTGAATGTCTCTAGGAGAAGTCACTTAAATTTGGGGAACATAGGTTTTCCCACTTATATTCTGGAAATAATAACATTTACACGGCTTAGTTCTGTTAGGAGCATCATATGATATAATACACGGAAAATATTTTGTTAACTAAAGCACACCATGGATTCTAAGCTGATAAAATTTTTCATAGTAATAAGAAGATAATGGTTCATGTCTATAGTTACCTATACAAAAAAAGGTTGTTTCAACAATATTTATAATTTTCTATGACTAGCAGTTAACTTCTCTGCCAGTATCTTACCTACCTCCCGAATTCAGGTAGCGTTTCCCAAAGTGCACAATGGGATACTTGTCTGCTAGTCTTTTGTCTGGCCACAGAATTCCATCAGCTGCAAAGACCACTTTATGGTTTGACTTTTGGAACTTTTTTAGAACTTCTTCTGGACCACCAGCAAATATGACATCAAAGCTGTTTAATGGGGGGGGGGG